CTTGCATCATCCGCTGAAGCGCGTGAGGCCCCCTCGCATGAAGCTCCCGAAGGGGCATTCCGACATTCGAGTGCCCCGCATAGTCGAATGAGATCCCATTCGAGGGCCTCGACTTGCCCACAGGCGTCTGTGGTACGCGTCGGCGGGTGGAGAAACCGGCGGATGCAGAGGGCTGCTGGATAGCAGAACCCAAAGAAGAGTAGGAGGAGCGGCTAATGGAACCGACGGGAGTGTGAAGAGGGTTGGTGTAAGACATTTCAGAAGAGAGTTGCGAATGCAAGAGGAGTTATTGTGAGTAACTGAAGATCGAACTAACCTGATGTCGACTCACCTCGAAATTGACCATCTTATATATTCCATTCTCCGAAGGGCAACACCTAGTGCTAAAGCGCATGCACAAGCACCGAAAGTCTTTCATGGAACTGTGAAAACCTAGGGATGAAAGGACAACGGGGTGAATTTCCTGAAAGATTTTGGAACGCGACACGGTGAGCAAGAGATCGACGACGGCGGGTGATAATAGCGCAGGTGAAAGGACGTGAATGCGAGCGATAGCGCAAAGGGGTGATTATAGCAAGGGAACACCCTCGTTAAGATCACAGACACAGGATGTGATATACCGGAAAAGGAAAATCCAGGGCGTTGTCTGCAGCTTTGGCCGTGAAATGTGAAACGTCCTCGAGGTCGTTGTTGCTGATGAAAGTGCCGTTCCCGGTCACCCTTTCGCCTCTGACCTGAATGAAGACGAAAACGTTGTCCGAGGTGGGGCCGACAAGAGTAGGTGAGGGGATGAATCGATGACGGGTAAAAGCATCCACGGCGATTCGATTATGGCAAGGATGAGTGAGCATCTGATCGATGAACGGACCATGGAATTGGGATTCCGCGAAGGACTCCAACAGGGAGAACTGAGTTTGAGCAAGGCCCAACGAAAGGCACGAAGCCTGCCTACGAGACATCACGTATGTATCGTCTGTACCACAGTCTCTCGAATCATACCTCCTTTCAGCCCAAAGTATCTCTTTCGTCTGGTCTCGTACCCCTCTTTGCCCTTGATTCCTCCCGCTGATACTCCCCATACAAGACTCCCCACATCCCAAGCTTCGAGGTAACCCATCATCCCATCGACCACGTCTACTTTTTGCTTGCAACCAAACTACCCATTTCCCCGGATGATTTAAAAGGGAGGCCTCGGGCTGAGATTACCGTCGGGACGATCGAGCCCCAGCGGGTTGAAATCAAATGGAAGGGGAGAAGGTCCGAGGGATAACAGCCTCGTGGCGAGCAGACGACGACGAGAGTATGGTGGGTAGGAGGGTTGAAGCAACGACAAAAGTGGGGGGACCTGGGGAGAAGCCACATCAATCACATAAGATAGCAACCGCGCGGTCGTAGCAGCTGAAAAGATGCAAGACGATGCGGGGGGGGAAGAATTCCGTGCCCCTCTCAAGGCCTTATAACACGGCCAAAAATGCCCCGTGTCACGATCGAGATTCGAGTGGAAGCAAGCCAGTGTATGAACCATTTGCTTCGACGCACGATCTTCGCGACATCTTTGAAGGCTTGTGAAGGGCCTGGGAGTAAGCGAGATGCTGTGCGGTGAACATGTCGAGGGAACGCGTGATTGAGGTCACAGAATGGACCCAAACGTGGGGTTGTAGGTCCGTGTATGGCCAGGAGGAAAGCAGAGTCCCTGCAGAGATGTGAAGGATTGTGAAGGGCTCGAAAGGTTTGGTGACTCATAACGAAGGATCGCCCTCATGTAGATCACATTTGAATAGTGCTGTAGGTCCCGGTAGGAGCTTGAGTGTGAACGGCTGTGAACAACGGGATATAGAGTGAACACAGCGAGGGAACGCCCCCGTTGCGGCCAAAGCAGGACAAGCGACATCCGCACTCATTCCAAGCTATAGGAGAGTTTTACAACGACTGGTCCCCGGATTGTGCCAATGAGGCCAACACGGTAGCCGCGACTGAGGCTGAGGTGATAAGTGATATCAGCCATATCTCGGTCTAGGTACCCCAGTACCCCGTCCGAAATGAGCCATAACACAAGCAACTGTTCAAAACGGTAGCCCGCAGCAACAGAGGTTTGAGACGAGCGGTAACGATACCGGGCCAGCGCTGAGCGCTGAGCTATCAGAAGGACTGTACGGGGCGGCCGGGGTCGACATGAGGACGAGTGAACAGGAGAAGATATGGCGCTCCGTGACACCCGAAGTTGTCCCTCAATCGATGACATATCGTGTTGAGCAAATTGGTGAGTAGCAGGTGAGGAATATGGGCGAAGGCACGAGTTGTGAAGTGACTAGCGTGAAAGGAACGGTGGGTGATCACACCGAGGAATCACCCTCGCTGTGAATCACAGGTCAATAAATTGAAAGGTACGCGGAGTGACAGATCGTCCAGTCACATCCGCATTCACATTCACATTTCATTGGGCACATTCGTAGGCTCATGGGGGTGATACGAAAAGCATCATCGATAAGAGGCGGGTAGTCGCGAAGGGCTTGGAATAGACGAGAAAGATCGTGCATCTGCCAGCGGGCTGATCTATGAACATCCAGATTTGACAGCATAAGCGAAATGAAACTGTCAGAGAACCGTCACATCATCACTCACAGACGAAGTCGGAAGTGTGGGTGCATATGGGTGATGTGATTGTGGTAGGTAGGCCATCGGCCACCGCCTTGTTAACAACCACGTAACTTCAAGAACGATCAGACGAGCAGAAGTATCAGAAAAGCTATGACGTACCAGGGCGTTCACAGAACAGTTGACCATTCTATAGGGCGAACCTAAACGCAATGCTTGATTCACCGAGTCCTCCTTAAGAGCATTCTCGTCTCTGCTGAGATGCAGCCCACCCCCCAAGACTCACGCCTGACGCCGGTTCCGTGATCCTTTGAGAAGACAATCGTTCTCACTACAGTCACACATTGCACTTCCGAGGTCATGAGTCCCACTGGCTATGAGAACTTTGGAATTCACGTACCAACGGAACGTACTGCTTCCTACTTACTGCTGAGCATCAGGGATCCAGAAAGCTGCCTTCATGCATATTGTCCCAAAAGCGTTGGTAAGTAGGCGTTGATTGCCTCGAAACGTATAGAAAGAGTTCGTGAGCTGTTTTCTGCTATACCAACAAGGTTGAACTTTTCAAACACCATTAATTGCAATGGTGTGCAGCGTATATTTATGTACGCACCGCTCAGTCCGCAGCACTGATAGAGCGTTGATGCGGCTCAGTACCGGTTTTTCTCTCCCTTCCTTCGGTGCCCCCCAGCCTGGTGTCGTACTAATCTTGCTGTGCTCCCTCTCCTATCCGAACGAGCGTTGACGGTAAAATTTTAACTTGGCAGAGTTTAAAACAGCCATATATCCGTTTTCCAGCTACATCGAGGGCGAGTGTCATTGGGATGGTGGTGGTACTGGTAGATCTCGACAGAAACGCGGTTGCACGTGCTTCAGTAAATGAGCGCTACCTGGGCGTCAATGGGTTCCTGCGCACGGACCACCATCATCTATTCCAGTCTGGACCAGATCTCCAGTCTTTCAACGGAGCCACCATCCAACCTAAAGGTCTATTACTTGCCTGGAGTTCTGGTATGTATTCAACTCTCTCTTTCTGGCAACAATGGTATTCCCGGCCTGATTTTCAGGTTGGTCCAGGGCTGGCTTGATAACAACTCCCAAGGTGTTTTTCAGCGCTTTGTCTCGGATCATTCCCTCTGTTGACTTGTGGAAGCGTCAATGTCATTCTTCCATCGGAAAAACAACTTCGCCCTTGCGGTTATCCTCAGCTTTCGATCTTTCGCTTTTAGTTTTCACTCCTCCAGGGTATCCGAGGCATCAGATCATTCAGTGTCTTCGTTTCTGTGGGCTGACACTGACAGTTTGCGATCCCAAACTCTTGGGCTCTCCGCTCTAACATGTTCCGAACATCCACACAAATTCCGACGACGATCAGTTGGTTTTCTTCCATTTCAAGATGCTACGGGCAATAAGGCGAGGAGTGTTAACCCCATACGCAAGAACGCTCGCCCCCAGAGGAGGTAATTGCTTTCCATTTCGTCTTCCCAGAAACTGATTCCAAGTCTACGAGGCACGCGGTGGTAAATCAGAGAAATACGACAGCCCTGCGGGAGCTAATCCTGAAAGGCCTAAGCTGTCGAATCGATAATCGGGATCTTCCCAACATGTTCTCGAAATTCGGTGGAGTGATTTTAGCTCGCTTTGCAAACCGCAAGCATCTGGTCTCGGTCTAAGTTCAAACACACAGGCCATGCTTGATCCACATATGCGTGAATCAGGATATAGCTTCATAGCCACGGAGTCGGCGGAAGAGGCCTTCGCAGATGTTCGACTTCTGAACGCGACCAGGCTTCATGGCAAATTGATTACAGTCGAAAAGGTATTCTAGTCCCTTGTCTCGTCCTGTTTTGGCTATCTCTGGCTTCATCTTCGGCCGTCTTTTGGACGAAGGTTCGTAGAGGACGAGCTTGTACTCTAACTCTGGGGAAACATGATGGGGAAGTCGAACTATGGTGAGATTTGGTTGCACTCGTAGGCGTTCGCGTTGATGCGGTTTACTCAAAGGACGTCTGCAATACTATGCCGTATGATGCATACTATAGCCGTGGCCACAAAGAGCGAGATCGACTCGATGACCGGAGGGGACTTAATGATCTCAGCGAACACAATAGCAGACGCAAGGACCATCGTCGTAGAAGACACTCAGGTGAGTGGAACAAGACTCAGGAGGTGCTAAGATCCACCATGGAAGTTGTCATCCTCCAAACTTGATTTCTATCCAGTACGATCAGTGAATTGTGGGTATCTACAGGAAAAAGAGCTACCCGTTTCTCGTGATGATCCACTCGCGTAAACCGAAAGCCTGCGAAAGGTCTTTCTTTGTTGTCCACTGTAAAGTTGTACTTGTACTTCCACTGACATTTCACTGGACGAACAGAAAAAATACACTGGAGTGCGATGGATTGTGGCCAACGTGGGGATCGAACCCAAGACCTTCGCGTTAACATCATATTAGCACGACGCTCTAACCAACTGAGCTAGTCGGCCTGTCAAAGGTGTACGTCTCGTTTTGTACATCGGTGCAGTGGACGTTTCATTATGCATCAACATTCGTAGGGCCTTACTCGCCCTCAGGACTCGGCCATTAACTCACAAAGAGAATTATAGGACCTCATACGTAACTGGACGACGACATATAGATGAAAAGTGGTCGATTGGCGTGGTTAAGGGGCTTTATGACCGACCTCTCGCCTTTCAGCTTTTGAGTTCGGGCCCGGGATGGTGCGACCCTCGGAGTTTTCTACTTTTTTACTGGAGCACTGGTCATCACCACGGATTCTTTAGTATGCATACTGCCGACGTGAGGGAGACCGCTACCAGTTCGACATCTGACCTCGCATACCCACTGAGACGTTTTCTCAAAACCTATTATCCCCAATGTATACTCACAGGGCTTTCCTACATTAATAACGCCAGTCTCGTCATCAATCTCAGTCGAATGAAGAAGTTGCACGAATTTCTTGCGCTGTCAGTCAGTCCAAAAGCTCAAGGTTTATTCGTGGCGGCCTGTAAGCACGGAATGACTGAAGCATCCTTTCATGACCTGAATTAATCCTCGCTCCGTAACATACTGTAATATGAACAATAGATTGGTATCTGACCTCGGAGCTTGAACGCTCGGATATTGCTGTTTATGGCTCTAGGGACAGATGAAATGGGATGTCCTGAAGTCGGTCGTCCTGTCGGTCTTCCCAAAAAGGCTCAACAGTGCCTTCAGGGGCTGACCCATAGCATTCTGATCTTCTTAGGCCTGTAACAGACCCCTCACAAGATAAAGTCGCTGACGCTTGCTCATTGACGGGCATGTCACAGGTCTACGATCTTCTATCATCAAGCTTTTGTCTCAGGAGAGGTTGACACACCATTTGGCCAGTGTAATGCTGTAACCTCACTATAAGTTTCACTGCAGGACGCGAATTTGCCGTTTTCATTTTAGGCAGTCGTGCCCCTGGACGAAAGAAATTTGAAAAAAGACATGGAAGGGATTGAGTATGACGGTAAGATTAAGGGCGGTGTTGCTCTACACGCACATTCCGTGCTCTTATTCGTTTAGTTCGGTGGCGGCATGTGTGCCGGGGACTCGAGCTCCGGGGTGATGAAAACCGCGGAGGGAAGTTTGTTCGACGTTTTATGTGGGAGTATGACCGAAGCGGAGTCTAACAGAAGGATTTTGGATGAATAATGAAGGATATGTTGTCCTAGCGGTCCGCTGATAATTTCTGTCATCAAGGGCTCGACCATCCAACGAACTAGTATAAATCAAGAACAGATCAACCCAATGGACGTTTTGCGCCTAGCACGAGGCGTTCAGTTCCAAGTGTGAAACTATCCAATATATGATTTACTTCCGCAAAAGCTAGCTTGGTCGGACTGTCCATCTCAGACCATCTTTGGCTACTGAAACCATGACACATGTATAGTGACCCGAGGATTGTCCCATATGTTGAGTGGATATGGACGAGGCATCTTCGATTGGTCACCAGTCTCCCTGGGTTTGGACGAGCCCCTAGTTACTTAGTCTGGCAGGAACAGTGTCAGACTTAGGAGAACCTAGGGACCTTGGCAGGGGGAGAGAGTTCTCGAAGAGCGATGTTCCCACCAATATATGTGACCGAGAACAAAGCTACTTATTCTTTGCAAGTCTAAAGCGGGCGTCGAGCCCTGGTGGCTGATGATCAAACAATCCGGCATCTGCCGAGTAAGTCGTTGGTGGCGTGGGAAGAATGAGTTATCACTATCAGTGTCATCATATCTTCAGCTTGAACCTTCGTTCGTGCCATCGTGTCCTAATTTTCCACGAGACGAGCTCCTGTTGCCCTTCGATACCCTTTACTCGAGACTAACTCAGGCCGTTCGGTATAGAGGCTCTACTCCCAATATATTAGTGCAAAGGACACAGAATAACTGAACCGATCTAACTGGAGCTACGACGCGCAGCGGAAATCTGGCCGGGTAATATGTGTCAGGGCTTGAAGAGTGCTCAATTTCAGTATGTAACAGATTATTGCACCCCAGATTCCAACACCTCGTGCTCAAGATCGGGACTGCGCGATGATTAGTGGAGCCTGGTGTCACTCAGTTCCCTTGAATATGAATCAACCCACCGCGGCTAGAACGACTAGTACCCGATACAGGTTCAACCTAAGCGGTTCTCGTCGACTTTGAAAGTTGTCGCACGAGTAAGCTATATCAGTTACTCAGTGAATAAACCTGACCGTTTTATTGCAGGTAATTTGCAACGTTCAATTCCACTCGAGGCTTTCGGTACATAGTACCAAATTGGGCGTAATTGGCATGCTCTCTCGAGTAAGCTGCCTTAGCTCGTATCATCGCCCGCCGATGGCGGGCGATGAGTTGTTCGTGACTCGTTTATCTCCTTCGTCACCATGAAACTTTCGGGTGCCTCCCAGACAACCCGTGTTTTGTCTCACTCTTGCCTCACGTCGTAATTTACCCTTCCATTTCTCAAGAGGTAACACGTAGTGGATCGATGGTAAAACTTTCTACGCTATTCGTGCGACTCTATGGTATAGAGCCTCGAGGTATGGTGAGACTTATTGGTTACAAACTCACGAAGGTACACGAATGGCACTGACTACTTCATAAAGCGTCCACGTGGAAACTGGTGCGTAACATGTCCGTGTTCGCCTCCCATGATCGAATCTTTTGATTTGTAGCATCTAACTGGGCAGCCTTTGCTGAATTGGGCAAAGGTTCAATACCTGATTTGATTCCTGTTGATCGATCTCGCACCAGATGGCGTCCAATTAGTTATGGCGCACTCGACGACCTAGTAAGCCATGCTTCCTGCACACCAATTCTTGCAGTCTCTACGATGTGTGCATGTCTGGAGAGATGAGACATCGTAGCGAGCCGATGGCTCGCTGATGGGAGTGTTTCCTGCGCGAATGGGAGAGCACAAGTCGTACTTTGTTTCCTTTCGATGATTGGACTCTCCGCCATGCTTCTGTTTCTCAAACATGTGTCTCAATAATGGAGATACAGCTAAGATGTGAGTGTACCTCCCGAATATCTCCACGGCAAAATGGAGGGGACATCATGAATTGACCCACGTTCCCCCGCAGAAGACCATGTCATTGGAGTACGTCTCAAAGATACTCGTTCATGAGGGCCCATCATCAGCGTGCAATATCCAGAACGGGAACCAAAACTGTTATTCGGTTTCGCGGCGATTGTGCCTTGTAATGCTGGGTGTAATTCTGCCCCGAAGCCCTGATTTTACCCCATCGTATGCTACATGAGCTACATGCGGACGAGGTCAAGACGCTAGGCTGATTGATGCCGGGAAGTTGACTACTAGCGCAGGAGCCTCCAGTTTCCTTACTCCAGTCTACTGCCGTTTGGATTGAATGTCAGCGGACATAGTACGTTCACAAGTTCTTCTAGTTTCGATCTATTAGGAACTTTCTCCCTTCCAAGGTGGTAAAATTCTGTCTATGACCATCGTCGACACACTCATTATTAATTTGGAGCGTCCGAGAAGTATCAAGTCAACGCCGGAACTTGAATTTACGGGATGATATCGCAGACACGAATTCACCTTCGCTACAAGATAACTATCGAATTCCGAGGTATATCTGCTTTGGACTACGTTTCAGACCGGGCCTGTGGTCTCCTATGTTAATAAGATGTTAATAGGACAGCGCACACGTGTAAGGACCATCAAAACAGCGATGCCAATGACCGCCGACTCCATTGACTGATACACTAGCTGTTGTTCGAATCGAATTTCTTTGCCGCCTGCCAAATACGCCCACGTAGCGAACTCTGAATGTCAATTTCAGATGCCGCTACGTCGAGCTGTTTTCCCCGTGATTCGGATCCATTGGATCGTCCCTGCGTGTTCGTGTGCCTGCCTACCCAACTGACCAACATCCATCCTGTGTATCATTTTCTCGAGCCCCCAGGTGACACGGGGACCACTAGGGACCGTTCAATATCCTTGTGCCGCCCTCAAGCTTCCGGTGTCAGCGATAGATCACAAAATTTCTCTCCCGGACCTTCGCGCAGTGGAGGACCGACAAGTATATGTGGGCTGAATACATTTTCCTCTTCAGACTAGCACGCCACCTGGCGCTCCCAGCCGTAGCAGTATCCACCATTTTGCGCCACAGAAAAGGATAGGTCATGTAGATTCTTGTCGGTCGGTAGCTCCAATCAGATTCATTCCTCGGGAGAGCGAGGCGTTAGAATCAATCAAGGTTATGTGTCTACATATTTGGAAGTAGGTTTCTCAATCAAATATCGGGCAGGAGGAGAGAATCACCCAGAGGGGGGTCCCCAAGTGCTTCCTTACTCCTCGGACATCGACGAATTGGGAAGGACGAATTCTAGGCGCAAGGTGGCGTATTACATCGTCGAGTTTTTCGTCCTAATTTTCCCTGTTGACCGAGTCCTATGGGACGTAATTTCAGGTAACCACACATGATCACGTCCATGGGCTGGTTCGAGGTTGGTCCTATGCCTTGCGACGATACTGCCAGCGTGGTGCATTGAACTCTCGCTATTGTATTCCCAGCCTTTCGTGAAAATTGGCGCAAAGTAAACCTAATTCAGCCATTGAGGTACCTCAGGCCCGATCTCCGAAGACAATTGAAACGTATACCCATGTTCTCGCCCTAGGCCAATGAAAAAACATCATGGCAACGAGCTAAAAGAAACAAGGTTAGCGCGTGGAGTGCATGTATGTAAAGAAGTGGTCTCGGAGCGGCCTTAAACCTGAACACCGGGACCTTAGAAAGCAATTCCCAGGCCTCCCAAGTAACTTCCGCAGCTATCGTGATGTTCCTCCAACGAAACTCAGCCACCCATGCTCCGCAGAAGACTCTGTGTATGATGTATGACTCTGATGATAAGTTGAGGGTTGACCCAAATTCGGACCAACCAGTCCATCATGGCTCGATTCGATGCACAATCAATGATTAGCGCCGGTACTGATGACCCAGTCCCAATGCATCGAATGACTA